CAGGTTTCGAAGAACAGAAGAGACCACACTCAAAGACATAACAGGGACAGAAGGAGGCCCTCCAAAGAAGTACACAGAATGAAAGATCACCACAGTCAAGGGGTGGAAGCTTCCAGGCCTCTCCATCATACAGAGACAGCTGGAATGGTGGCAGCACATCAAACCCCTTTGCTCCTTTGTTCAATGAGAAACTTGTGTGTGTATGTGTGTGTGAGTATGTGTATATGTGTGCCTGCATCTGTGTGTGTCGACTTCTTACAGATCACACAGGAAGCTGGGGCACAATTCTAGGTCCTCATTTCTAGTCCATTCACAAAGGAAGAGTTCCTTGCTCCTTATTTTATTTATTTATTTATTGTCTGTGTGTGGGGATGCACATGTGGAGGTCAGATGACAACTTGTGAGTCGGTTCTCTCCTACTACGTGGGTCCCTGGATCAAACTCAGACCATTAGACTTGGTGGCAAGTACTTTGTCCACTCAGCCACCTCACTGGTCCATATACAATTCCCTGACTGGGACTCAAACTGGGCTGTAGTGGTGAAAGCACCAAATGGTATCCACCTGGCCAGGAAATGGATTATTTACTTATCCAGGCTGAATTTCATGCTTGCTAAGCAACTATCCTACCCTTGAGCTATGGCCCAAACTTCCCAGCCCCTGACTTTTGATATTTTTACATTTCAAGACATGATTTTACTAAAATTGCCTAGGCAAGCTTTAACTCATTCTGTAGCAGAGGAAGGCCCTGAGCTTTGGTAATCCTGCTTCAGCCTTCCAAGAAACTGACATTACAGGCTTGCACCATGAGGCCAGCTGGGCAGAGTTTAAAACAGTGGTTGGGCTGAAAGAGGTGACAGACAACTTTAATCCCTACAGTCCGGAGATGGGGTGTGGGGGGGTGGGTGGAGGGGAGATGGATGGATCTCTGAGTTCAAGCCTGGCCTGGTGTATGCAGTGAGTTCCAGGCCAGCCTAGGCTACATAGCATGAAGCATGTCTCAAAAGTAAAGAAATAAAAATTAAAACAGTGGATGGCAGTGCAACGTAAAGAGCAGGCACAGCAAAAAACAAAACAAAAAACCCCACTGGACTGTCAGCAGATATAGGACTTGAAAAAATGACTGGGAGCACTTGCTGCTCTTGCAGAGGATCTGAGTTAAATTCTTAGCCCTTACATGATAACTACACAAACATCCAAAATTCCAGTTCCATGGGATATGATACCCTCTTTTGGTCTCCATGGGACCAGCCACACATGGGGTACACATATATACATACATGAAGACAAAAAAATCATACACACAAAATAAATGAATCTTAAAAAAATTTAACCATGGTTACCTCTTGGAGGGGGAGGGGAAGTATTCCAGGAAAGTGTTTAGCTCATCTGTATTGGGTCATGTGGATTAAGGGACAGACTGAGGTGGGTCAGTGCTCATCCCTTCCTGTGTGACCTTTGGTTAATATTCCACACATCAGTGGGTGAGTGATTTCTACTCGGAGGTGGCTGAGGGCAGCCTGGGCAAATCTACACGTGTGATGTCCTGGCTCCTGCTGAAGACTCTAGGACAAGGTGTGTCCTTGACCACAGAGTTCCCATCTGCAAGGCCAGGCATAACCTGAAAAGGTCCTGCCCTTCTCCAAAGGACAGGACAGAGGTCAGATTGCAGGATCTGTATCCCTGTAGACATGAGTGCCATGCTGGTGCACTCAGAAGAAAGGCCACAGTGTCTCTGCCACCAATCCTCATGGGAGAGGGGTAGTCAGAGGCACAGCCTGTGCTCAGATAAGGCCCAGGTGCCACGTGCTGGTGGCATGACTCTGAAATGCAATCAGTGTTGAAAATATCTGCTTTAAAGCTTGGCAAAGCAGTCCACGCACAGCTCCCATGAAGAGAAAGAAGTGGCACTGTCACTAAATCCCCAAGGGTGAGGGAGCCAGGTGGCCTTTCTTCTGTCAGCAGCTTCAGGACTCTCCAGGGCTGTGGCTGGCACTAGTCACACATGGCAGAGCAGTGGCCATTTCTTAAGAGTGCAGTTCCACAGCATAGCCCAAATCAGAGATCCTTCTGCCCAGTCTTTGATCTCTGCCCCTTCTCTGTTGTGGAACATAATATACTTTTACCTATTAGCCTCTATCTGGTCGCTGAGCATCTCTTCTTCAGCCAGAGCAGAGCTGACTGTTTTCCCTGAGTCTATCTGGTACAGTGACCAGGGCAGGCTGAGAAGATGACTAGATACACCAGTATCCAGTAGAGTCGGTCTTAGGCCCTACTCTACTCTGAACAGCTCCTTGCCCCTGCTTTTGTGTTTCAGAACACAGCGTCTTTTTATTTTGGCATGTCTCACGTAGCCCCGGCTGGCCTCAAACTCACTATGCAGCCAAGAATAGCCCTAAACTTCTTAACTTCCCTCTGTATGCATCTGTTTATGTAGCACTAGGGATTGAATTCATGGCCCCATGCCTACTAGGCAAACACTTCACCAACTGTGTACCAGCTCCTCCCTATGACAGGGTCTTGCTATATAACTCAGGCTTATCTGTAACTCTCTATTGCCCTGCCTCAGTCTCCTGAGTGCTAAGATTGCAGGTGTGAGCCTACTGTGTCCCATTTTTATGTTTTTATATTGTGAACTTTTTTGTTTATTTTTCAAGGCAGGGTTTCTCTGTGGTATAGCTTTGGAGCCTGTCCTGGAACATACTCTGAAGTCCAGGCTGGCCTCCAACTCACACAGAGATCTGCCTGCCTCTGCCTCCCAGGACTAAAGGTGTGTGCTACCACCTCGAGGCATTATATTATGTAATTCTTTGTATAGTTATTTAGGAGTTAATATTTTAACTGATCAGGGGATGGAGAGACAACTTAGTGGTTAAGGGCACTGGCTGCTCTTTTAGAGGACCTGGGTTTGATTCCCAGCACCCATACAGTGGGCTCACAACTGTCTGTAACTCCAGTTCCAAGAGATCTGATGATCTCTTCTGGCCTCTGTTGGCACTGGGCACACATATGGTACAGACATAAATGCAGGCAAAACACCTATACACATAAAAGAAAAGTAAACCTTAAAAAAATTCAACTGATTAAAAAGCTTTGCAAAATGTAAGCAAGAAAAACTGAAAAGCAATAGTTATCCCATCTTCTCAATTTTAAGAAGGGAAACAGACCCGCCAGAGGTCACAGAGTGCTTGACTCTGACCCCAGAGACTCTGGGAAGGAGCCTGGAACCTCAAAGACTGCAAGCCTGGTCACACTTGCCTCTTCCATCTCAATCTTCGACTTAGCCAGGAGGAGTTTCTGGTCAAAGTCCCGCTGCTTCTGCTCACGCTCAGCCTCCAGCTCAGTCACCTGTTTCTGCAGGTCCACTAGCTTCTGGCGTAACTCTGTGATCTGGAGGAGCCACAGAGAGGGAGTGTGAGGTCAGGGGGAGGCATGCACCAGCTGTCTCCCCCAACTCCATCTCATCCTGGCCACAAGCCTCTCATCCCTCTTCCTTGAACCATCCTCAGCTCAGCTCCCAGGAACTCCATCACCTTCTGCTCATACTGCTGCTTCATGGACCGGAAATGCTGGTCCCACTGCTTGTTCACTTCCAGCAGCTGTGGGCAGACAGGTGCTGGGTTAGAAACACACAGAAGGAGTGCCAGATACCCACCCCATGCCCCAGCTCTCCAGATGCCCAGAGCTGCAACACTGCCTCCATCCTGCACTGATCAAAAGCTTCTTGCTGCTCCACCTTTGTCCCCATCTGCATTTCAGTCTTGCTAGGAAAGCAACAGGGAAAACTGAGACCAGGAGACAGCTACTGTGAGGCATAAACATGAGTCTTCAGAGGGCAATCTCAATAGGGTGCCACCATTTCATGCTTTCACTGTCTTTAACACAAAAACTATTCCGCTCTGAAAAATGTAACCAATGGAAACACTAAAACCAAGGGCTGAGGCGTGTGACTCTGTAGGAGAGTGCTTGCCAAGCATGCACAAGATCCTTGGTTCAATCCCTGGTGCAGTAAGAAAAAAAAGGAAAGAAAAACACTTAATCAGCCAGACATGGCAGCCACACCTTTAATCCCAGCACTCAGGAGGCAGAAGTAGGAGGATCTCTATGAGTTTGAGGCTAGCCTGGTCTACACAGCCATAAGAGCCAAAGCTACACAGAGACCCTATTTCAAAACAAAACCAAAAATACAGATTCTCGTGTGTGTGTGCGTGTGCATGTGTGAATACAGGCACACCCAAAGGTCAGCTTAGTGTAGGACATGGGTTAAATTACACTATAAACAGATAATGCACAGCCATTAAGAAAATAAAGACACTTAATACATTCTCTCAGCTTTAAGATAATGCTAATTATAAGCCATACTCTTGACAGAGCAATTACTCAGGGGAGAAAAACAACTCTATATCACTAAGAAAATAAAATGACAGACCACGAGAAAGGATATTCTGATTTCAGATGTAACACCAAAGACAAAAGCACCAAAAAATAAAGGAATTGGCTTATGCTGTAGGTCTAAACAGATTAATCTGTTAAGTAATTAATTTGAAAAGTAATAAATGTCATTTTATTTTCTGCATTAAAAACTCCTGAATACAGGGTTTGCACCTCTGTGCCCTTGGCTACTTAGGAAGCTGAGGAAAGAGGACTCTGAGTTCAAGGTCCACCTAGGCAACTTGATGAGGCCATAGGTCCAGTTGCTAGAACCACAAAAAACTAAAACAGAACAACCCTGAGGGAATGCAGTGAGCTGAAGTCAGCTGTAGTTATCTCTAGGGAGAATCTTGATTAATTTATAATGAGCATTCTTTTAGTTCTGAGATATTAGTAAAACAAACCTAGAGTATGCATGTAAGCAAGCTTTCAGCTGTGTGTGAAGGCAAGAGGTGCAGGAAGGAAGAGGCCTAGCGAGAGGGGGGACAGGGACAGGCTACCACTGGGGCTGGAGCTGGGGAGGGAGCTTGTGGGACACACAATGCTGCTGCCAAGGGCATAGAAGCTTCCCTCACTGCTGGCCACTCCCTCCCTACACTGCAGCATGTGTCTCTAATGCTGACACTGGCCTGACTTACCAAGACCTCCCTGGACTATTCAGTTTATTTATCTTTCCTAAGCTTCCTCTTTTGAGTTATGTGTATACATGTGTGTGCCTGTATGTGAGTTTGTACACATGAATGCCGGTGCCCACGGAGGCCAGAACAGGGGGTCAGACTCTCTGAAGTGGAGTTACAGGCAGTTGTGAGTTGCCCTTTGTGAGTCCTGGGAATGCATCCTGGGTCTTCTGCAAGAGCAGCATGCACTCCTCCTACCATGGAGCCATCTCTCCAGCTCCCTAAGCTCTCCAAACAATTTTAGGCTGTGCCACAAACACAGTATCCTCAGTGATCCCTGTGGTGGATCAAGAAAGACCATCCCCACAGGCAGATGGTTCAATGGTTCCCATGATAACTCTCCAAGATGACCTGGAGCCAGAGGTCCAGAGGAAGCAGAGAGTCAAGTGGAGCCTTCCTCCCTCTGGTCCCAGGAAAGGAGAAGGGTGCTCACTGAACACTCTGTCTAACCACCTACCTCCATACGTTGCTGTTCCAGCACCTTCACCTTCTTCTCAGCGGTACCCAAGACCCCCACCTCGGGGACTTTACCTGCCTAGGGGTAAACAGAGAGAGCTTTCACCAAAGTCTTAGGTATAGCTTTGCTCCGCAGCCTACTGGCCTCAGAGGGCTCCAATCCCTGTCTCTAATCACCCTGTTCCTCCTACCCAACAGCCACCAGAAGAGGTGTCACAGCGTGACCTCCTCCTTCTGGAAACCCATGAGGATCATCCCCTTTGCTGATGTATACCATGGCTGCCAGCCTCACCATCCCAACCCCAGCTCTTTCCACAGCCATCTTCCTGGCTTTGGCTCTAGCTCTGAGGCACTGTTGGTCAACCCCCATAACAAGATCAAATCTCTGACTTGGAAGGTGTGAGTTACATACTTTTTAAAGTTATCAGGAGTCAGTGAGATGGCTCAGTGAGTGAAAGTAGTTATCTCTAAGCCTCATGACCTGAGCTCTATCTCCAGAACCTACATGGTGGCAGGAGAGAACTGACTCCTACAAGCTGTCTTCTGACCTCCATACACACATGCAACCCCCAACACAAATGCCAAAGTTTTATGGAGGTCAGCAGATACTGAGAGCCCAGATGCATGTGCTAAGAGCCCAGCACCGTGCAGACATGTGCACATGGCACGGCACTGAGATTCCTCCCAAATTCTACAACCACAATCTAATCTAAACCCAAAGCTATTCTGAAAAACAACTGGCCAGCATAACTCAAAAGCATCAAGGTCATGAAAACAAGGAACAGCTGAGCAATACCACAGGCATGAGGAGACTAAGGAGCTGTGACAACTGAATGCCGTGTGAGATCCTGGATTCAATTCGAGAACAAGGAAAGGACAAGAGTGAAGGACATGTGGCAGCTGAATAGTGTTGTGAGGCCAATGTTAAATCCAACTTTGGTAACTGAACCATAGTTATGTAAGATGGTTGGTGAGGTGGTTCTGAGGTTATGGAAGCTGGCCAGGGAAGTCAGGGGGTGTATGGGAACAGAACTCACTTCTAAGTTTAAAGTTACCTCAAAATAAAATATTTTGAACTAGTAAGTGTTGAGGTGACAACCACAGAACAAGGCTAGGAGTGCAGATGCCATGACTGTTACCATGGCCCTCAGTGTGTGTGATCAAGACTGTGGGGTCAGCATGGGTCCCATTGACTGAAGCTCACCTATGAGTTTGATCTGCCCTATAGTCATGCTGTCCTTACTCTCACATTCTCTAGTCCCTATCACAGGCTGGGCAGAGGCTGGAAGCAGAGCTTGTGGGCTTCTAGTGCCCCCTACAGGCTATGTTCTGAAAGCATACCATGGAACCTGGAAAGAAAAAGGTATATTTGATATGGTGGCCTCTGAGAAAGGGCAGAGATGCCTGCCCCCAGGAAGCACACTGTCTCCTGGAGGGTGCTGGGTTCCCTTACCCTGGCAGACAGAGGCAACCCTGCTCCGAAATCTACTACTATTAAAAGCAACAGCTAAAGGCTAGGTGTAGTGGTACATATCTTTAATCCCAGCAAAGGCAGGAGGATCTCTATGAGCTGGAGGCCAGGTTGGTCTACAGAGTGAGTTCCAGACCAACCATAGCTACATAGTAAAATCATGGGCCGGGCAGTGGTGGCGCACACCTTTAATCCCAGCACTCAGTAGGCAGAGGCAGGCGGATCTCTGTGAGTTCGAGACCATCCTGGTCTACAAGAGCTAGTTCCAGGACAGAAGAAGAAGAAGAAGAAGAAGAAGAAGAAGAAGAAGAAGAAGGCACAGTGCTAGTGGGGGGGAGGCACAGAGAAATGAGAAGGCTTTGCTGTTTAGCTGGCCACACCCATGTTTGCTTGAGAGGAAGATGGAAGAATCTTAATTACATGATGGCACATGACTTCTCCAAGACTCCTGTCAGAGGTGTACATGGAAAAGATATCCTTTCAGGCAGAAGAGTCTGAGTGAGCTCATGGCCTTGCGAGTCTCGGGTAAAGTACATCTCTACCCAGAGATGAGGAGTGAGTGACCCAGATAATTACTACATTACATAGTATAAAGTTAGCATTAGGACTTATGCTGAACTGATTACAACTCACTTAAGGAGGGGGGCAAGTTCTGTTAAAGACCAGATGAGGAGAGATTGGGAGACTGGTGACAATGGAGCAAGAGACACTTAGGACTTGGCTGTGTGGCAAGGCTGGGCCTGGAGGTGGGAAGGTATAGGTCACTGCTGTGGCATCCCCACAGACTATAATGAATCTGCCAACATCTTCCTCTCCATACAGAGGCTCCAAGGTGCAATCCCATAAGCTTAACACATCCCCATAGGATCCCGCTCAGACTGACACCTCAGTTCTGCCATGGAATGTGTGATATGCTACACTGACTTTTGGGAGTCACCTTTAAGGGGGAGACCTTGATAAAAAATGCATTAACGTGCTAGTACCCAGAATGAGAAAAACATTGAACCCCAACTCCCATTAGTAGCAGCTGGATAATCCAAGGTAGCAAGCAAGAGAGGCAGCCAGTGGGGGCCACAGAGCTTCAGGACTGCTAATAGTTCTGAGCATGCGTCTCGGAATGGGACACTCCATAGGGAGTGACGGCAGAACAAAAGACCAAGGAGCGGTCATGTCATACTGCAGAGGCAGGTGCTGTGTTAGGAAACACGGTCTATCACCTGGAACGTTCTGCCACTGGAACTGTGTGTAGGAGGAGGTAGGCTCTCTCGTACTGAGGAGGTGAGCAGATCCTGGGTTGGGATACTAGAACTTCCCGCCACGCACCTGCTGCTGTCCGGCCATACCCTTCTTGCCAGCACCCTCTGTCTTTGGGGAGCTGGGCTGCCCACAGAGGCTCTCTTTGCAGCTGCTGTTCATCAACAGTTTTTTGAGCTCCATGTTCTCCTCCCTGGATAAGAGACAAGTGGAGAAGTCACAATGTCAGCCCTGGGTTAAGGAGCCTTTGACATCAAGGACCTAATGTCACAGTCACTGTAGCAGTGTTCTGGGATGTGTGACTGAGACCAAAAGGGCATCCATGAGCCACTTAGCTGGTGTGTAGACTTCTTGAGAACCCTTAGCAGTTTCCCTGTCTGTGGGTTGTCTACACACATGGCACCTTCAGGTCCTACCGTCATGTTCTCACAAGAAAAACATGTACCTTTGGTTACAGCCGAGTGTCCTGACTCAGCTGAAGCAGGCAGAGTCTGTGTGGTGTTAGTAGGTCCTGAGCACTCACTAGCACCTGCCACTCCCCCTCGTCAACACAGACATCTGGCAGTGAATCTGCATACACCAGTCACCATATCTGCTTCAAGGTAACCGTCTGTTGAATACAGGTGATGCTCCAGGGGAAACCTTTACAGTAGGAGCAGTTGCCAAGCAAAGCTGAGTGTGGGTGCTCACACCTGTAATCGCAACGTTCTGGGTGCTGAAGCAGGACTATGGAGTCTGAGGCCAGCCTGAGCTACACAGTTAGTTTTCTGGGCTATAGAGCAAGACTGTTCCAAACAAAGCAAGCACTAAATGAGAGTGAAATCCTAAGTTCATGAGGTAAGGTATTGCTGGGGTCTCGGGATGCCTGAAACATGGACACATCCTCAGCCTCCATTTAATTACAGGAACATCATGGAATCAAATGGCTTTTCCCCACATCATTCAGCAAGGATTTGAATTCCTGCCTTCTTACCCATAAGCCCTTGGGAGAAGCCTTTTGCCTTTTCACCTACTCACCTTTCCTTCGCCCTGGGTATCCTTGTCCTTGACATTATCCATGTCCTCCATGAATAATGGAGTATGGCTCTAAACTCCAACCACTGGGCCATTCAAAAGTAAACCAAGGCACAATGATTCAAAATGTCCCTGTGGCCAGTGACCAAGAGGGAACAACGGAGTGGCAAGCCCTGGTTCTAATACAGATTCTTTTGTCTAAGAGATAACCTAGCACCCTGTTACCCAGGACCACAGTGAGCAGGAACTGTCAGCAGGCTCTAGTGAGTGCTTAGGTCCTTGTAGTGATACCCTTAGGAAGACCGCCTCTTCCTGGGCCAGTCTCCCCTTACATAATCCCCATTAGTATTAGTCTGTACAATCTGAGGACAAAGGCCCTTTGAGATCCAGCTATCACAAAGGCCTCCTACACTGTGGCCACAGAGATCCTTGGTGATAGGCAGACCCTATGATTCACCTAAGACACCCTAACTCAGTCTTGCCAAAGACAGAGAGGCTGGAGTAAGCATGCATGCCTTCCCACAGGCCGGAATCCAGTGAAGGACTTCCAAAGATCCCAGAAAAATAAAGCAGGGGATGATAATGACCGCCAGGGGGCAGGAGAGTCCTGAGCCAGCTCTTACACAAATATTAGCAGTTAGCCCCAAGGGAGAAGGGTAGCTCTCAATGCTGTTTACAACCCCTTCTCCAAGGTAAACAAAATACAAGGGAGAAAATACCAGAAGCCAAGGAGAAGGGCCAAGAGATCTGCTGTCAGAATAGAGCTCTAAGATGTGGTCTCATCCCAAGAACCAGTACGTCCGTCACATTATTCCTCCTCCTCTTCCAGTCTCAAGGTGGCCTGGACTTACCGTAGCCTTTCAGCAGCTTGATCCCGCTGTTCCAGACCCTTGTCCAACTTGGCCTTCAGGGCTTCATTCTCCTGACGCAGCTGCTCGCACAAGGTCTGTGGGGCAGATTGGTAGATGGGTGGGAGTTAAGAGGAGGCATGTCCCAAGGAAGGCTCACAGGAGGCTGGAGCAGCAGTCAGCCCTGGCAGGACCAGATACTGTATCTCCTTGATTGGCAGGACAGCTGGGAGCCAAGCCACTAGGCCCATCCATGCAGGCTTCTCTTTCATGGGAGCCAGCAGGGAGGATGCACTGGGGGTCCTGGTCCTCCCAACGAGAATTCCCTCCCTCTTCCCTTCATGGCTCTCCCTGCCTAGACTGCTCCTCCTTGGCAGCCCTCCCTGGCTCACTTCTCTGGTCTCTTTTTCTAACTAGGGTGGATATCTTGTATTCACTCTAGGAATGGTGTGGAAAGAAATAAATTCTGACTACACAGGATACAAGGGAAATTATATTATGTCACCCAGGGAGACTCCAGAACTGCTGGCTTCCTTTCTGACTGGCATAAGACAGTCCTGGATAGATGGCTCTCCTGGAAAGGCAGCCTTGCACTGTGGATGTCGGACATTGTGGGTTGAAGGTTGAGAAAACAGAAAGCTTGTTACTGGTTTCTTCAATGCCCATCAAAGGACCCTGGGCCCTTTGGCCTTTTCTTTTTTAGGCAAGGCCACACCCTGTACCCCTGCTGTTAGGCCTGAACCTCACTATATACCTCAATATTGAACTCCCAGTAATCTTCTTGCCTCGGCCTCCTAAGTGCTGAAATTACAGGTGTGAGCCTGCAATGTTTGTTGAGTGAACCAAGAAACAAATCAGAGAGAGAATGAGGAGGAACTGGATTTAGCTTCCACCACCCAGAGGCTGAGAAACAGGGAGTTGCTGTGTCCCTAGGTGGGGACTCCAGGGAACAGAATGTCCTGCTTCTGTCCCTAAGGGAAGGCCACAATGACACCTCATTTGTTACACTGTCATTCCAGGCCAGAGGGCTGTTCTTGGAGCCTCAAGGTAAATGCCCTGGGTATAAATCAGATGCTAGACAGGCTCATTAGCAGTCAAAGGTCACCACTCTCTATTAGAGAACCTAAGAGCACACCTATGAGCTCGTTTATTGTTTAAAGACTGATTTGTTTTTATTTTATGTATATAGGTGTTTTGCCTACATGTATGTCTGGGCGCCATATGTGCATAGTGCCCACAGAGGCCAGAAGAGTGCATCAGATCCCCAGGAACTGGAGCTATAATGTGAGATGGATGCTACATGGGTGCTGGGTACCAAACCCAGGTCCTCTCCAAGAGCAGCCAGTGTTCTTCTTAACTGCTAAGTCATTTCTCTGACTTTTTTTTTGAAACAGGTTTTCTTTCGTCAGGTTTTCTTTCTCAGGGCTCCGCATGGAAACCCCAAAGCCTTGTCAGCCTCTCAAAGAGGTCCCCTCACCCAGACTACACTCGTAGGCCCTCCACCACACATTCCCATTGCTTCCCCACTCTCCAATAAAATGGTGTCCTGTGTGCTCCCTGCCATGTAACCAGCCAAGACCTCAACTGCTCAAATACACAGGGTGGATTCCCTCCTTTCATCAATGTCAACTGGCACAGAAGGAGGAGGGTCTATCTAAAAGTAGGAGGCCTTAGGGTGAGGGCTCTGTCCAAAAGCAAGGGGGTTGCTCAAGCCCTGAGAAGGCCCTCTAGCAGCCTCACTTTCAACATCTTTACAATGGTCACCAATTAACTGTAATTGTCAAGAATCAACTGCAAAGTCCTCCACGTTAAGATGGTCCATCCAGCGCCGATGCTGTGGCTTGCTTCTTCTCTGACCTTCAGAGAGGCTTTATTTGTATAAGCAAGATATCTGCACAGATGAGCACTGTCAAACAAAGCTGACAGTGACCTCTCCCAGAACTAGGTTCTAACTGCACAAGAGCCTCCCCTGATGCAGTAGTCCCAGGAGGAGGGCACTGCTAGCTCAATTCCTGATAGCACAGAGATTAGTGACTTGTCCAAGATCATTCGGCAATGGCAAACCAAGGGCAGCAAAACTCCAAAGCCTGACCTGGCCAAGCAAAGGAATCTGACCATTTCCTAGCACACGGAGCCTTTTGGGAGGGATTTGAAAAAGGAGGTGGGTAGGGAGGGTGGCTAAGGGTATGAAATTTAAAATATGACAGATTAAAGCTGGGTGTGGCAGCTCATGTCTGGGATCCCAGCACTTAGGTTGCTGAGGCAGGAGGATATTGTGAGTCTGAGAACAGCCTGGGCTACAGAGGGAGCTCCAGGCCAGTCTAGGTTAAGAGTGAAACTGTCTCAAAAAAAAAAAAAAAAAAAAAAAGGGTTCTAGTATCAGGCCATCATTTACCTGTTGGGTGATGTGGGGGTTAAAAAATTTTTTTTTGAGGGCTGTTTGCCCATCTGGGAAAGGGTCATATGAATGGCTCTTAATGCAGGGGGTAGAACGTACAAAGAGCTGCAGTGAAAGCAAAGCAAGCCACAGTGTGAGCTTGGGTACCAGAGGCAAGTGGATCTCTGCGTTTAGGGCCAACTTGGTCTACATAGTGAATTCTAGGCCTGGTGGGGATACACAGTGGGCCGCATGACAGGGTGATTCTCTCCACACTAGAGGCTAAATGCTGGTGTGAGGTGGGTCACTATGTTTGTGGGGGAGCAAAAGCACATGGGCCATTCAAACCTTCACGACTCGAGGCAATCGAGACCCTGTCTCAAAAAAAAAAAAAAAAAAAAAAAGAAGAAGAAAAAAAAGAAAAAGAAAATGGGGAGGAGGAGGAGGAAGAAGAAGAGGAAGAGGAGGAAGAGAAGAAGAAGAAGAAGAAGAAGAAGAAGAAGAGGGTCACTATGTTTGTGGGGGAGCAAAAGCACATGGGCCATTCAAACCTTCACGACTTGAGGCAATCGAGACTGTGGGATCAGTAAATGTGAAGGCATGTAGCACTGGCATAGCAGCAATTTAATTTAAAAAGAAGTGAGTCACGCCTGTCATTTCAAAGACTTAGGAGATAAGGCAAGAGGTAACAGGGTTCCCTGAGTTGAGCTACAGAATGAGTCTGTCTGTCTGTCTGTCTGTCTGTCTGTCTGTCTGTCTGTCTCTC